TTACTACCCTAAAGCTGACAGGAATTTTTTTATGTGATTTTCTTTATGAAAGCCCTTAGGCTAATTTCTTTTATCTGTCCGCTGATAATTGCGCCCCCTATGTAATCTCCAGGATCCAGACAGGTATAGGATCTTATATTCCTGCTCGTCGGTTTTAGCTCAAGCCTTATTCTTTACCATGGTTTTTCAACTTCTTGTACAATTGCTGTTTCTAATTATAATAATTTTTTACATCTTTTTCACAATAACGCAAAAAAGATGAAAAAAGCAGATATGGAATATTAAAACCTTCTATCTCTAATACATGGGTCTCTTCTTATTGCCAAGAATAAAAAACAAAGCACATTTTCTATAACTCGACTCTTTAGTCGAGTTATAGAAATTGTTCATTAGCATTGAACATTATGGAGCATTTTCATTCATTGAGTGTTATAGAGTATGACCATTAGAAATGATGTGGAAATTTTGTAAACATAAACTTAGAACCAACAAATGTGCACATTGGTGTGTAAACATAAACTTAGAACCAACATTAATCTTTTATTAGATATCCAAATTACTCGGACATCTGTTGCAAATTTTTTCCACAAGCAATAGAAGCATTTTTTTTTAAAATGCTTCTATTGCTTGTGGTCAAAAAAACATTTGTGTCACAATCTTACACAAGTTCAAGAACTTTCTTTAATACTCTCTAAACTGTTCAACAAATACTCAACTAAATCTTTCTTCTTTTTCTGCTGAAAAATGGTATCCATGGATCCAACAGTTAAAAACTCTGGAGAAAACTACCATCCACTTTAACTATTTTCTCTTTAATATTTGCAAAGTCTTAGAGTTAACAAATTTCTAAAATTTTATCTTTAGTCTAATAAATTTGACAATCAATACGGACTTTGAAGCTTTTATACTTTATATACAGCTGAGCCACAATAAAAAGATTTTATAGTGCATTAAATGGAAAAGACAAGGCAAGGACTATTGCTCTTAACATATCAAAGGCTTTCAATAAAATCTAACATGCTTGTCTTCTTCTTATGCTCGCCTTACATGGTGTATCTTGAAAGGTTTTTAAGATTATCGAATTATTCCTTTCTAACTAATTTTAAAGTTGTCCTCACAAAAATTAAAACTTTTCTTTTGTTTGTTAACTAAATGCTACGCTCTGTGATGAGATCAATGAGACTTCTTGAGAAACCATAATAACCACAACAGTAACAAAAAAGAACTTAGTAGGATATAAGCACTTGCTATATTATAAAAATAATTTTTATTAACCAGTTGGTTAATAAGAGATATTCAAAGAAATGATAAAATACGGTGGGAGAAGCATTTGGGTAAGCATCAAAGTATTAATTGAAAAATTAAAACAGTTCTACAAGGCTCCTTATTTATTTAATGAATTTTGAAAACAAAAGAGTCTGAATAATATCAGGCCATCCATGATTAATGATCTAATTGCAAAAATTTCAAAAAGTTGTTACAGTTAAAGCTCAAAAAACGAAAAAGATAAATTGCAATTTGCTTTTTAAAAAAAACAGTTTCTGCAATTATGTTATTTATGTATTGAAGGAGACAGCTAGTTATTTCAACACCAAAAAAATCATATCAATAGATGTAAATATTATTAACGTTAGAAAAACAATCAATAAAGTAAATATACATATCATGGTGCACAAGTTAAATTTAGTAATAATTTTAGTAATAAATTTTAGTAATAAATTTTAAATAAAATTTAGTCGTGTAATTTGAAGAGCATTATACTGCTTATTATTATATTTTGCTAGGAGACGATCATTTAAACATCTTTAAACATCAGTTAGAGTCAAGCAAGTAGGTGCCTAAACTCAACCACTTTGAGTGTTTAATTTCAATTTATGTTAAATACTTGATAAGCGATATTAAAAACACAACTTTTGAACCCAAGATAAATGGAATCAAAACAGAAATAATTATGTACACGGATGATTTATTAGTGTTGAGCGATAGTTTACAAGATCTAAAAAATATACTTAACATAATGGAATCCTCTTGTCAAAAAAAATAAAAAAAAAAAAAGTAAAAAAAAACGTATATTGCAATTGGGTTCAAATCCAAACACGAATTTAATGATACTTAAGATATATGGTCAAAACATATATGTGCCGAAACTTAAATATTTAGGAGTATGGATTAATACAAAATTAGGTTTGATGGAAAAAATTGACGAAAATTATATTTCTATATGCATAGTATATTTCTATATGCATAGTAAAAATAAAATATACATATATATATTTTATTTCGTTTTAATTTTTTTACGTTTTGATATCACAAAAAACTAATTCGTTCAAAGTAAACATGTTAAAATCAAGGAAAAAGCAGGTTCAATTTTTATATAATTTTTGATTTCAGAACATATATGAACCTAGTTTATGTCAGATTTAACAACATTACTTTAAAAGCAATAGAAACTTTTATTTATCCCCCCAAAAAAAAATTATTTACTTTCTTTTTACGTAGGAGAGCGAAGAACCATACGTTATTAAAATTTAGATTATTAGGGCGATCTGCAACAAACATAGAAGGACTTTGGTGACCCAGAAGTTTATAATACTATATTTATAAGTTATGTATATATTTTAAAATCATTTTTGCTACAAACACTAAATAAAAGTATAAAATCGCGGCAATCATTTTTTTTTTTAAATTGCTTTTTTTATCTGCACTAATAAATCAAAGAACAAGCATCCGAGCATTCGAGCTTACATTCGAGCTTACATTTGAGCTTACATTCGAGCTTACATTCAAAGTAAATTTTTTTAAATGCTTTAATGACTTTCAAAAATTAAATGCTGTTTGTAGTTTTCTTATATTTGTAAAATTCCCATTCATTTTAATAATATTCCAAGCTACTTAGGATGCACATATAACTTTAAATCCCTCTTTAACTACTTATAAATTAACTTGGAAAACAAAATTAGTTAACAGCAATTTAAAAATATCTAATTTTAAATAAATTTATAGGTTCATAAAGAGGACAAAACATATTCAAAGTTATCCGAATTAACTGTATGTTATTTATAATAAAGTTGTAAATATACCAAATTTTACTTAGCAATTTATATTTTATTTTTAATTACACAAACGTTCATTATTGCATTTGAAGCTTGTTCAGAAAATTTAAAATTTGAGTTTCTTTTAAAACTTAAGATACCATCAAAAGTTGTATTAAATCAACATCTTTACACTAAAGAAATAAGCGTTGCGCAATTCCATTCTATAGTTACTTAATTTCTGATTGTTTTATGACATTCAGTTATAAAAATTTAATACTACCCTGCAAAGATTTTTGTTGTGGATTTGCATTGGACCTTTGTAGGCATTTTGAGTGATTTATTATTTATTGCTCATCAGATACTTAGTGGACCACTATTAACATCCGTTATATGTGGCCAGCCAATAACTATCCGACATGTAATATAGTGGCTAATCAATGGCTTGCCACTTTTAGCCACTACCACTAATAGTTCACTAAGTAATTAATGAGCAAAACTACAGTGGAACGCTCAAAATGTCTATGTAGGTCAACTGAAAATCCGCTATTAGTTTGCTGGGTGTGCTTTAGCCTGATCATTTATTACCTTATTATCGTAAATAAAACTGTTACAGCATTCCTTTACAGTAAAAAAGTTATGAATGTAAAAAGTATATATAAAAAAAAAAAACTAAGCAAACGTTCCTAAACCCAGTGACGGTGTAGCATGAGATTTTTACTCCCCATTAAAAATCGCGTATGAAATTTTTACTCCTTAGTAAAAACCTCATATTAAGTTTTTACTCCCATTATGATATTTTTACTCTCATAAAATATTTTATGGCTAAATGTATTTTTGCAACCAAACGTTGTATTTTGTGATTACTTTAAAATTTTTTAACTACTGCAGTTTCTTGAAAAGCAATAAAGAAGCAAGTATTTAAAGCGATGAAAATCAATTGTAATCTCCATGACCTTGACTGATAATCAAGATAGCGAATATTAGCGTTTAGGTGTATTTTTTTGTCAGATTTGAGTGCTTTCCGTTGATTTTAAGACCTATGTTTTTATATGATTTTTAATCAGGATTATATTTCTCTATTATAATCAATCATAAAAAAAATGAAAGAGAATCTGTACTATCGCCTTTAATATTATTGTTTTTATTATTAATATTAATACCGTGGTATTATTCCAAAGCATATTTCTTTTTATGTGACAACAATTAATTGCTACAGCGATCGCATTATAGGAATTAAATTAAATCGTTTTTTTAAAAAACCCCAATTCCATTTACAAAGAAGAAAGTGTTTGTTTACATTTTTTACCATTTATTCCGTTTATTCCTTTTTTTTTTAATATTTTATCTATTTGTTTTTTTTTTTTGCTTGTTTTTTTCGATTTTTTTTTTTTTTTTTTTTTTTTTTGTATATGCATCGACTAAATTAGAGAGAACATGCAGTGAAGTGTACATACATCGACTGACATAAATAGATAAATTATGTGAGGATACATGCACCAGCTCAGGATTTAGTATAAGTCAAATAATCTTAATGCCAAACCTAAGCCTATCTCTTTCCCAAATGTATGTACACTCCCTGCATACTCTCACTATTTCAGTTAGTTGATGTATGTACACTCCATAGTCGATGTATGTACACTCCATAATCTACTTACAGTTGACTCTTAATATATCGACTACTCGATATCTCGAACTTTTATGTATCTCGAACTTTATTTCTGGTCTTTTGCGCATTTGTTTAATCCTCTCGATATCTCGAACTTTTTTTACCGGTCCACTGCGTATTCGAGATATCGAGAGCCAACTGTATTGAAGTAGTCAATGCATGCTCTCTTTCAAAATTTAGCACGATAATATCTATATAAAAGTAGCATTTAATAGGGGATAACTTCAAGGGGGAAAAATCACAGTTGATTCTATCATTTTTATTTATTGTCATTAATATCAAGATCATTTAAAAATTACCTGTTCTTTTTTATACTGGGCACGATCTATATCCGACATTGTTCGTTTCCAACGAACCAAACGCGTTTGTTGTGAATATTCATTTAAATGGGATGTTTAGTCACGTGATTTTTAGTAACGGAAATAATTTTTTATTTAACGTTACATTTTATTTAACGTTATTTTATCTTAACGCAACGTTTTGTTTAAAGTTTATTTAACGAGTTACTTTGCTTTGTATTTTTATTATTGGCAGTTTTATTTAAAGGGAATGGTGATAAGACTGAACTAGTCTTCTTTTTGCTCCAGTCATGTATTATATATTTGTATTGCATAAACTTGTAAACTTTTTTTATCGGCGAAATACATAAAATGATAAAAAAGAAAAAAACGAAAATTCGTCCGTCATAAACTTAAATAGGTTCTGCAAATATTTATTAAGAAAATAATTTTTTTTTTTTACAAGAATTGTAAAAAAAAAAATTTATGTTCTTTATAAATATTATTAGGAGAATTTCGTCCGTTATATTTACTTTTTTATATAGTAAGCGCAGTCAAAAGTGTCTGACAATTTCTTTGTTAGACACTCTCTCATGCTCGGCGTAGTTAAGGCAATTTCAATATATCACAGAGTCTGTAATATGTTAAAATAAAAATGTTTGTGGTTAAAAAACTCAGACCAGAGATTCTTTTTTTAATCATTATCTCTAAAAAAATCACGATTGCTTGTCCAGATTTGAATAAGGTTTGAAATAAATACCTTGTTTAGGAAAAATAAACGGATTTCTTAAATTTTTGGTGAAAATTGTTAGAAACGTTATATTTTGAGTATTTCGTTGGTTTGACAAGGTTCTAACTGTTCTAACTTATATTAGGAGAGTTTAGAAAAAACCTTTTGACTTTTTTTTAATGTTTAATTAAAATTATTTATATTATTGTTTTTTTTTTTTTGAATTGTTTATGTATTCTTTTTTTGGTTGGTGTATAAAAATACATAAATAAACAAAAAATAATTATATAAATATTTTCATTTGTATATATTTTATATGTTCTTTATTCACTATATGTATATTTAAATGTTATATATTCTTTTTTGACTAATTGAGGGTGTTTTTACTTTTAATTGATACATCTTTTTTCTCTATTTTTATTCTTAAATATTATTATTATTATTATTTTTTTTTTTTAATTTTGCTTACATTAAAAAATCAAAGTACAATTATATATGCCATATATATCGTGTTACAATTAAATTCGTGTTACAACATTTATCAACTAAATTATAATAAGAAAAAACACGGACATACATATATAAATATAAGCATATATACACATAGAAATGCGTAGATGCGCACATACATAAACTGCTTACAATGAAACATAAGCTAAGATCTGAAAGAAGATCACAAGATCTTGTCATCAGAACCTTATAAAGCACAAACAAGCAAAATAAATACCAGTATAAGATACTAAAAAATAAAGTAAAAATTAAAATAAAGAAAGTACTGAATTCAAGTTGTATAACAATTTTCAAAATATAACAATTTTCAAAATATTAGAAGTATCTGAGTATATTATCAAGTGAAATAATACATTTTTTTAGATTGAGCTTAAAAAGGTAAAAGGAAGTTGGTAAATCAAAATTCTGCAAAACTATATTATTCCATAGATGGGGTCCACGATAAGCAATGCAAAATTGATTAAATTTTGTGTGACAAAATGGTTCTTTTAAAAAGTTTATGTTTCTCATGTCGTATTTGTTGTTAGGTTTGAGTTTGAAAGTATTATTAAAAACGGTAGGGGATTTATTATTTCTCCATAGATATACAAAACATAAAACTTTAAATACATTGAGTTCAAATAAATTTAACAATCTCATTTCAGTAAAAAGAGGTTTTGTGTGTGTAAAACGATCGGCATAGTTAATTATGCGGATCGCATGCTTTTGACGACGATAAAGAAGTTTTAACTTACTTTTTACAGTACTCCCCCAAGCAGTGTTGGCATAATTTATGTAACTGTGGATAAAAGAGTAATAAAGTTGTTTTAAGCAATTTTTATTTAGGTAGTTACGAGCTTTATATAGAATCCCAATGTTTTTTGAAATTTTACTAGATATATAATTAATATGTTGATTCCAGGAGATGTTTTCATCGAGATAAACACCTAAGAATTTTGTAGTAGGGATCCAGTAGTAGGGATATGCCGTATTATCCATATATTATCCGTATTATCCGTAAATCCATTAGTAGGGATATGCCGGTTCTAGCTCATTTTCATTTTCAACCATATATTAATATTAATATAGGGTTCAATGTTAACCATATTGTATATAAATTATTTCGATAAGAAATAATTTTTTTATTTTAAAAAATTGAATTTTTTAAAATAAGTGTTAATTTTTATTTCTTGTCGAAAAATGACGTCACAGGTCACGTGATTTTCTTGCTGTTTCTATACCTTTTTATTCTATAGAATGTAACTATTCAAGTACTTCAAGATGTCCATTTTCTGCAGCAGTTGAAATTGCATAAAATGTACCTTTATATCCTAACGAATCTAAATATTTTAGTACTTCAAGGTGACCATTTCCTGCAGCATGATTAATTGCATAAACTGTTCCTATATATCTTATAGAATGTAAATATTTAATTACTTCAAGGTGACCTTTTTCTGCAGCATAATTAATTGCCCAATCTGTACCTTTATATCCTAACGAATCTAAATATTTTAGTACTTCAAGGTGACCATTTTTTGCAGCAAAATCAATTATACTTTCTGTTCCTCTATATCCTAACGAATGTAAATATTCAAGTACTTCAAGGTAACCTTTTTCTGCAGCATAATTAATTGTCCAATCTGTACCTTTATATCCTAACGAATGTAAATAGTCAAGTACTTCAAGGTGACCATTTTGAGCAGCACAAGTAATTGTACGTTCTGTCCCTATATATCCTATAGAATGTAAATATTTAATTACTTCAAGGCGACCTTTTTCTGCAGCATCATTAAATATCCATTTAGACTTCTTATATCCTATAGAATGTAAATATTTTAATATTTCAAGATTATTTGCTGCATAAAAAATTGGATCTTCTGTTCCTCTATATCCTAACGAATGTAAATATTTTAGTACATCAAGACGGTTATCTATTATTGCAGAATTAATTACTAAATTTATACATGTATATCTTATAGAATCTAAATATTTAACTACTTTAATGTATTCATATTCTGCAACATTATTAATTGTATCTTCTGTACCATTATATTTTAATAAATATAGATATTTATGTACTTTAATGTCACCATTTTTTACAGCAGTAACAATTGCCCAATCTGTACCTTTATATCCTAACGAATGTAAATATTCAAGTACTTTATGTTTACTATTTTTTAAAGCAAAATCAATTGCTTTTTCTGTCCCTTTTTCTCCTATTTGAATTAATAATTTAATTAAATCAAGTCTACCTATTTTTGCAGCAAAATCAACCTTATTACCCTGTTTAAACCCATATTCTTTTAATATTTCATTAATCTTAAAATTATTTTCTAATTCCATTCTTTTTATATATAAAAGAAAATTATTTAACTCATTTTCAATTTTTTTTATTTTTTTTTACAAAAATAAAATATTTAATTATGTGTACTTTCATCATCTTCATTAACATATTCAGTAGTTTCTGTAATTTCAGTAGTTACTGTAGTAATTGTAATAACTTCTTCATCTTCATCATCTTCATTATCTTCATTATCTTCATCTTCATCATCTTCTTCAGTCATTTCAATATCATTATCATATTCAGTAGTTTCTGTAATTTCAGTAACTTCAGTAGTAGTAACTGTAGTAACTTCAGAATCTTCAGTCATTTCAATATCATGAGTATCAATAATATTTAATTTTTCTTCTATTAATCTTAATCTTTCATCTATTAATTTTAATATTTCTTCAAGTTTATTTTCCATTTTCTTTTATATACATAAGAAAATTATTTAACTCATTTTTAATTTTTTGATTTAAAATATTTTTACAAATAATAAAAATAAAAATGAATGATGATGAGATTAATGAAATATCTGAATTTCAAAAAGAATTTAAACTTTTTGAAGAAATATTAAAATTTGAATTTGAAGAATCAGATTCTGAAGATGACACTTATTATACATCTGATGAAGCTACTTATTTTACATCTGATGATGAAGATGAAGTTAAAGAAAAACCTATAGTTCCAATTCCTTTAAAAACAGTTCAAATCATGGAACTGCATAAAGATAAGCTGAAATGGATTAATTATGTTCCAACTTATAATGTTATTAATGATGATTATCCTGCTATAGATAATACTTCTTTTAAAAAACATTACAAAAAAAGAAAATTTAGTTTTGTAAAACCATTTAATGTAGATATTAATTTTACTGAAGATGGAAAACCTTCAACAATTCATTTTGTAGAGAAACTACCCATTTTCTGTAAAAATATTTTAAATGATAATTTCTGCCCTTTTGGAAGAAAATGTAAATACAATCATGATATTCCTTATTGTAATACTGTAAAGGAAAGACTAATATGCACTAAATCTTCATGTCAATATAGGCATATTCATATTTGCTATGATTATCCTAAATGTAGGAATAAAGAGTGTGTATTATTTCATCCTAAAAAGTCAGAATTATCTAAATTAAGAAGAGCTAAAACTAAATTATGCAAATATATTCTTGATAAAAAAGAATGTAAAAATATAAATTGCAAATATGCTCATTCTAAAAAAGAAGTTGAAGAAAATGTAGAAATTTGTCATTATACTCCATGTAAATTAGTAGAGAGTAAATTAAAGAAAAATAAAAAAGGAGAAATAGAAACAATATATAAAAATAACAGTGATAAAACATGTTATTTTTTACATCAAGGTGAAAGTATTTTAAATTATATTGTTAGAACTTTAAAAAAATGAAAAAATATCATACTTTAAAAGTATTATATTTATAGTGATCTAAAAAAATCTTTACATTTTTAAAAAAATCTATAAGAGAAGAATGTTTTTAGATTATGAAAAGCATGAAAAATATAAAATAACTTTTAATATTAATTCAGATTTAGAACATAGAGCAATAAATGATAGACATATTAAAGTATTTGCATAAGAAAATTTTACAGTAAAATCAAATTCATATAATAGTATTTCTTTAATGTGTGGAGTTAAAATAGATAAAGGACATGTAATGATTTCACTTGCAGAAAATTATAAACCAACACTAAATTTACTAAATTCTGTTGTAATAGAATCTACTGATGATATTAAAATAACTTTATATAATAACGATAAAAAAGATATAAACATTAAAAAAGGAGATTTGTTATGCTGTATTTCATCTTATAATGGTGTTTTTAATACAAATCATATATCACATAGAGCTGCTTTAGAACTTGATAAAAAAGTAGAATCTAGATCAAAAAGTGATAAAGAATCTGTAAAATCTTTATTATCAAGTATAGGGGGAATAATTAAAGAAACTATATGTGATGAAGATAAACCTAGTATAGATAAATCTGACAATGCTCTATTTGATTTTGGTAAAAAGTGATTTAAAACAAATTTTTCTTTATAGAAAAAAGAAATGCAATGTAATAATGAATGTAAACAGCTTTATCCAGATCTTAACCAGTTTAGAGTTGATCCAACTGCACCACCACTATCTGATCAGCGATATAGATTAGATAAGATAAGTGAAATTCAAGGTAAAATAGAATGTGCAAGAAGTAAAAGAGCTAAGTTGAGTAAAAAATATCACAGAGCTGTAAGAATAACTTCAGTTGTTGATAATTCATTACTTGCAACTACTATGACACTTGGAGCTGTTGGTATTGGTTTTTTAACAACAATAGTTGGAACACCAGTAGCTATTGCATGTGAAGGTTCAGCATTAGGTATGGGTGTATTATCATTAATAGGATCTCAATTAATTAAAATATATAATAAAAAATCAGAAAAGCATGAAAAGATTAAAGTATTAGCTGATGCAAAATTAAATACGATAAGCGATAGTATTTCTAAAGCTTTAAAAGATGGTTTTATCGATGATGTAGAATTTACAATGATACTTTCAGAATATGAAAAGTTTCAAGCTATGGTCGAACAAATTAGAACAGAATCTAAGAAAGATATAGATGAGCAGACTAAAAAGTCAATATTTAATAAAGGAGTAGAAAAATGAACAAATGATATTATAGAAGCGCTAAATATGAAATTTAATAAGAATCAAAGTATAGGAATTATGAATAATACTCTTAAGAATTAAATAAGAAAAAACATATATTATGTATTTACTTGAACATATATTATGTATTACTAACATAATATATGTTGATTTAGATCTTTTTAGGGATCTGAGGATCACATTGTGATTTAAAAAAAATTATTGCAATATAAAAATGTATGCAAAAGCTACAGATATTGATACAAGATTAAAAATAGCAAAAGAACTTGCTAGTATAAAGAAAAGTATATATCAAGATGATATAAATGAAAAGTTAGGTTATGATGCTTTACAGACTAACTTGGAAAAATTGTACAAACCAATAATAGATAGCCAATCTGGAATAAAAGAAGGTATATCTAAATTAGAAAATAAAGCTAATCAAATAGCTAATACTTTTTCAAGCTATCCTGCTTTACTAGATTCTGAAACTAAAGCAATCATGCCACCTGAAGTTGTAGATAAAATGTCGTTAGGACCTATCGCAACAGAATATTTAAAGTTATATACTACTAAAAACAGTAAAAAAGTATCAGATGACATATTTGGTATACATTACAATGAAGGTGATAAAAAATTTTACATTGGTAAAAAACCAATAACTATTGAAGGTGATGATATAACTGTTGAAGGTAAAAAATACATTAGCACACCTGGTCTTTGGGAGATTATAGTAAAATCTCATCCTGTTAGATATACTAACGATGATCGTAATAAGTATAAAGAAATTTTAGATCAAACAGATGCAATTCGCTCTAATTTAAATTTAGCTAAACCAAAATCATCTAGAAGTTATAAGTACACTAATGTAATAAAACCTATTTGGGAAGAGATGATTGGAAAGTCTGGAAAAGGAGTTGTCATTCTTCCTAGTGATCCAAATGCACTATTTGAGATGCTTAAATTACGCTTAGCTGGTTTACAAGCAGGAAATACTGGAACAAGAAATGAGATTGTTGCTATTTGTGATGAGTTGTTACGACAGGGTCAAATAGATGATGATGACTATAAAGCATTACAGAAAGCAATAACTTAAAATGAATTAAAAAAATTATTTTATATATAAAAATGACAAAATACTATGATACTCTTATCAATCTTTCAGATAGTCAGAAAGAAAAAATTAAAAAAGCAATTGAATCTGATACTAATGCTAGTATAAAACTATCATATGAAGATTTAAATGGTGAACACAAAATAGCTTTAACAGAGTCACAAAGAAACAGAATGAAAGCAGCCTATTTAAAAAATAAGGGTATAACACTTTCACTGAGTAGAGCACAACTTAAACATAATGCTAAAAAAAATGGTGGATTTCTACCTCTACTAGGATTAATTGGAAGTGTAATTGCATCAAAAGTTGTTCCGGCTATAGCAACAGGATTATTGACTGGAACAGCTGCAGCTGCTGGAAGTACTATAGTTAATAAAATTGCTGGAAATGGTATTATTTATGGAAAAAAGAATGGTTATGGATTTAAAATTAGAAAAGTAGGAAAAAGAGTATTTTTAAACCCATGGAATGGTAGTTATAATTATTTAGATGGATATTATTCTAAAAATGGAAATGAATATTCATCAGTAGGTAGAGGTTTGTTATTAGGAGAAAATTCTCCATTTAAGAATATACCATTATTAGGTCTTCTTCTTTAGGTCATGAAGTGACCCATGCTAACTTATTATATATATTTTTTAAAAAATATATATTTATCGATTCCACAATGAAGTTGGATAATAAAATAAATCTAATCCACTTCTATACTTTCCATTTAATAAATCAGAAGACAAATCTATAACAACAAATCCATGCTTTTTTGACCAAGCTTCATTACAAAACTTTTTAAACTCATCTAATTTCATATCATTTGAAACATGGTCATTATAAATATGATTTACATTTTTAGAATCTTGTTTAAACAAGCATATAAAATTTGCATTTTCTCTTATCGTTCTCCTAGGCAACTCAAAATAATTTTGTGCCAAGTAGACACAATCAACATTGCTATGTCTTCCTCTTATATAGTACTTTTCACACTTGTTTTGTTTTTTTAATTGTAAATCATCAAATATCATTAAATTATTTTTAATAGAGTTAAGACTTTCAGGTTCTGGAACATCCTCTGCTGTTTCAAAAAATTGACACTCTATATCTGTTTTATCTTTTAAATCTCTTGAAATGTTTTTAATAATAAACTCTGAACTTACATTGTTTTTATTTATTTGATCTTGCAACTCAAATAGTTTAAGAATAACTTCTTTTGGTAATTTATTTTCAAAAGAATTTTTTAATATTTTGTATTCAGGTTGAAAAAGTGACTTTCCAAAAACTTGTAAATGATTATAGTCTAATTAACCAGGTCTTAAGAGCAAGTTTAATAATAATGTTGTCTTTCCACAACCTGATTTTCCAACAATAATACCTCTTATACTTTTAGGTAATAACTCATTATTATGGCGTTTACTTTTATTTACATTCCATGATAAATCTATAATTTCCATTTTTTATTTATGAAAAGTATTTTTTAAATAGATTTGTGTTAAATAAATTAAAATACATATATAAAAAATGTACTGCGTTAAATGTAAAAACAAAACAGATACACTCAACTTACAACATGCTGTGAGTAAAAACAAAAGAAATATAATATGGGAAATTGTGCAATCTGTGGAACAAGAAAATGTCAATTTACAAAAGGAACTGGAAGAGCTAAAAAAGGAGGTGATTTGGTAGAATCTATTAATAAATTTACAAGTAATAAAAAATTACCTTTGCAAAAGTTTCCAGGTGAAATGCATATACCAGGTATGAACTTTGCAGGACCTGGTACTAATTTAGATGAAAGATTAACTTCTACTGAGATGCCTAAAGAATAGAGCATGCCTGTAGATAGAGTTGATAAAACAGCTTATATTCATGATCTTGCTTATAAACATTATCCAGATAAAGAGCATAGAAATTTAGCTGATAAAATGATGCTTGAACAAATGGATGCTATACCTAATCCTACACCTCGTGAAAAATTAGAAAGAAAGATTATAAAACCTATCATATCTGCTAAAGTAAGGTTTGGTATGGGAAATAAAGAGTCAATGAGTATTAAAGAATTATGTCAAAAAAACTACGAGCGCAGAGGAAAAAAAGCAAAAACTTGAAGTGGACTGATGAACTTGCAAATGAACTTCATAAACCTGTAATAAAACATTTTCGAA